TCCAGGGCATGTTCCTAGAGTATGGCCTGTGCTGGAGAGGGGGGTGAAGGAGACAGCTGGAGAAAAAGTCTGCCTCTGATTAGCAGAGAGGTTCAAACGCAGAGGGAGGCGTGTGGGTGGCAGGCGCTCTGGGCCGTGTTTGAGCAAGGGAGAGATGTGACTGGGCCAAGGGGCCATATATATTATGTAGAGGGGAGACTCGGAGGGGCCGTGTGACTAGCCCGAGGCCACACAGCCTCAGGGGCCCCGGGAAGCTCCAGCTTCAGAGTCAGGAAGGACAGACTTTGGGGTTGCTTCTGGGGCCTGTCCTTAGAGTCTGGATTCTGGGGGGCATGGGCTCACACACTCCTTCCCTTCCTTCCCAGGGCTCATCCCAGAGGAAACCCCAGAGAGCAGCTTCCTCCTCGAGGGGGACATCCTCCGGCCGGTGAGCAAGCATACACATCTGTGTAAATAACTTCACGATGTTGTTGGAGGCCTTTGAGCCCAGCCTCTGGTGTCATGGGGGTGTGACGTGTGACGGACCTGTCTCTGTCGCTCGTAGCTTGATAGACCCCCCCCGCCCCCCTTCTTGCTAAAGTCACAGTGAATGTTCCACAATTAGCCAGACTGAAGGGAAAAGGAGGGAGGGTAACTTCTACAGTGGTAACAGCAATCAGCCTCGGAGGGCTTCCTGAAGGAGGGCATTTGAGTCCTCAAGATCCAGCTTGGTACTGTGCCCAGGGGAGGTGCTCAGAAAGTACTGGAATGAAGGAAGAGATGAGCACAGATCGTCAGAGGGGCTGGTGGGGCTGTAGGACGGTGGTGGTCGTGCACACCGGGGTGGTGGCCACGGTTTGGGGAGGTAAGGCAGGGACCCCATCCCCGTGGGAGGTGAGGGGTGGAGTCAGAAGGCTGGGTGGGAACTGGGGTGACTTTGCCAGAAGACTGGGTGGGAACTGGGGTGGGAACAGGGAGCCGAGAATGCACGGTGTTCAGGGGAACAGAGCCATGTTTTAGGAGACTGGGAGGCAGAGGTGCCCAGACCAGAACCGCGACCTGGTGACAGCAAGACCCTTCTGGGGTTTGGTGACCGCCCACTGAGGGCACAGCGTGAGGCTGGGCTGCAGAGTCAAAGGCTGGGGCTGGGGGTGGGGTGAGGCCCCTGTTTCCGGTTATTCAGTGAGGCCGGGCTAAGAGCGGAATCCAGCGAAGCCTGTGGTAGCCAGTGGGGCAGGACCTGCTGGGCTTCCGTGAAGCCCGCACCTCCCAACGGTTTTGGTTGCTGGAAGAGTAGAAAGAGGAGCTGCTGAGGCCAGGGGCGTTGCCTTAGCATGAGCCCTAACATTCAGGAACGTTCGACTGACCGCTGTGTTTCTGGAAGGATGGGGCTGCTGGTGGGCCTTTGAGCTCTTTGGAACTAGGCCCCCCTGGGGAGCTGGGACGCCTCGTCAGCCTCGTTGGGAACAAGTAGTTTTGTTTTTCTGTTGGATACAATCGGTAACAAGTTCTGTTGTGTGGAACAAAGAGTGGGGGTGGTCACCACGGCTCACCCAGCAGGCCCCCACATCTCCCACCGCTCTGTCCTGTTTCTGATGTCCTCCTCACCCTCCTGGACCTGTGTCCTGCTTCTCACACCTTTAGGGTTCTTATGGCCTGAGATTTGGCACCACTGGGGGCAAGACGCTAGGCTAGTCCTACCCCAGGGGTCTAGTCCTACCCCAGGGGGCTAGTCCTACCCCAGGACTCCCCAGGGGTCCCTGAAGTGCCCTCTCTTTTCAGAGTCCCTTGCGGCTGTTCTCAACTACCAGCAACAAGTGGCCCAAGAACGGGGAGGTCGTGGAGGTCCCCTTCCTGATCTCCAGCAGATACGGTGAGTAAGCACGCGCTCTGGGTCCTGGGAGCCGTGGGCCTCCCTCCGGCCCCGGCCCCTTCCTCCCCGTGCAGCCTGGGCTCCTCTCTGGGTTTCTTCCCTCTGCCTCTCCTCACGGATACCACCAAAGAGCCTTTCCACAAGAAGCCCTTTTATTCCCGAGAGCCTCCTGAGCTGGGAGGGCCAAAACCCCAGAAGAGCTGATGGGGGGACAGCCAAGGACTATCTGACCCATTTCAAGACCAGTCCATGGGGCGCCTGGTTGGCGCAGTCGGTTAAGCGTCCGACTTCAGCCAGGTCACGATCTCGCGGTCCGTGAGTTCGAGCCCCGCGTCGGGCTCTGGGCTGATGGCTCAGAGCCTGGAGCCTGTTTCCGATTCTGTGTCTCCCTCTCTCTCTGCCCCTCCCCCGTTCATGCTCTGTCTCTCTCTGTCCCAAAAATAAATAAACGTTGAAAAAAAAAATTTAAAGACCAGTCCAGAGGACAGGGACCTACCTAAGGTCACAGAGCTGGGGCCTGTCTGGGACCCAGCTTTCTCTACCTCCTCCCTGAGCCCCAGGCTACCCCCTTTTTTTTCTTAATTTTTATTTTTGAGAAAACATAAATTTATGTTTTGAGAAAACATAAATTTATGCGGGGGAGGGGCAGAGAGAGAGCGAGAGGGGGGAGACAGAATCCGAAGCAGGCTCCAGGCTCTGAGCTGTCGGCACAGAGCCCGACGCAGGGCTCGAACTTGCAAACTGAGAGATCATGACCTGAGCCGAAGTCGGACGCTTAACCGACTGAGCCACCCAGGCACCCCTACCCTTTCCTGACCTTCCGTTTTGGAAGAGGGATTTGAAGCTCTGTGCTCACCCTGCACACGGACTCCCAAGGGGTCACAGGGGCTCTGGGGTCTTGGTGGGAGGTTCAGCCGGGGTGTTGCCTCCCCAGATAAAGCCAGCCGCGACATCTTCCTAAAGGCATTTGCCGAGTTTGAACGCTTCACATGCGTCAGGTTTGTTGCCTACCAGGGCCAAAGAGACTTCATTTCCATCGTCCCCATGTCTGGGTAAGTACTCCTGGGGGCGTGCGTATCCACGCATAAGCGCGCATGTGCAGGGGGAGTTCCTCGGCTTTCTTCTGCCTTCAGCCTGGCTTTAACTAGGCCATTGTCTAAAACCTATTTGGGGGCCTGTCTTCCCAGATCCAAAGCCCACCACCACCCCCCCCCCCACCTTGAGTGGTTTGCCCTATGGGAGTTAGACCTACAAATACCCAAGGCAGAAGGTGGAGAAGGAGGGGAATCAGGTGCTTGATGTCCCTTGCAAAACCCTCCTCTGGGGAGACCTCACGGTCTGGTGAATGGGGACAGCTTTCATGGGACACACCTGGCCTTGGATCTGGGTTTCAGAGTGTAGGAACCACCCAACACCAGGCAAGTGCCTTATCTTGCGAGGCTCTCCTGCCTTCTCTGTGGAAGCAGGGATAACGGCAGTACCCATTTCCTAGCTTGTTAGAGACCTAAGATCATGTGTGAAAACTTTGACTTGGGGGCCCTGAATGGGGATGCTCATTCAATGAGCCGCTTCCGGTATCTGTGCTCCTATTCATGTCTACATCTTCCTTGTACCTCGGGTTGGTAATGGGTTCCAGTGTACCCATTTCACGGATGCCCAAGTGGTGAAGGGACTTGGGAATTGCAAACCTGGGACTAGAATCCGGGATGGAGACTACCCGTTGACGGTCATTCATCCCAGGATGTGGGAGGAGAGGGAAGGGGCCTGGGTCTGCTCTGGATCTCTGGGCTGGTGTCTACCCAGTGTCCTCTCCTGGCCCTGCAGGTGTTTCTCCAGCGTGGGACGCAGTGGAGGGATGCAGGTGGTATCCCTGGCACCTACATGTCTCCAGAAGGGCCCAGGCATTGTCCTGCATGAGCTCATGCACGTACTGGGCTTCTGGCATGAGCACTCACGGGCTGACCGGGACCACTATATCCGTGTCAACTGGAATGAGATCCTTCCAGGTAAGCCAAATCGTGCAGAACCCACGCTGGACCTGGGGGTCTTGGGGCGAGAGGGCAGCAGGCACTGGCCAGGGCCTGAAGAGTTGCCTGCCACTTTAGAAGAGGTTATCCATCTTTCCTACCACCTGCTTGTCCACCATTGGGAAGGTGGGGCTCCTGCTTCTCTTTGAGACCTGGAGGTGGTCCAGCTACTGCTGCTCCGGGCCCCGAGCCTTCCATCTGCCCACCCAGAGTCATGCCTGAGTTAGGGAATCACTATGTTTGTGTCTCATTTTTTTTTCCTCATGAACACAACCTGGTACCTGGGGATGGAGTTGGTGGTATCTTTTGACCCTTGTTCATGGTGCACTCAACTAGCAGTCCTTCATGTTCCAGATGCTGCTGTGTGGGGCGGGGGCAGGGCTTGTGTGCCCGCTGCAGGGGCTGAGCCGAGACCGAAGGCCTGGAAGAAGTGGACTGTGTGTGCCAAGTCCCAGACGCAGGAGGCTCCGCCCTTGTGAGATGGGCACCGATGGGCCTGCGCGATAGAGGAAGCACAGGGGGGCCATGTCCTGACAGGTGGCAGGGGCAAAGCCGAGGCTGGTCTGGGAGTGGGCCACTGACTGTGTCGGATGCTGGTGAGCAGGAGCTGTGTGCTGGCCGTGGTGCTGACCCCCGTGATGGTGGGATCCCACCCTTGTTGGGGGGACAGCCTGATTCAGGGAACAAGAAGAGTAGAGACAATCCCTTCATGAAAGAGGGAAGCAGAGGAGACACATGATAAGGGGTTTGGTCTAGGGGAATGGGTATAAAAGGGGAAGGGTTCAAAGGCTTCCTGTAAGTGGAGAACTTGTGGCATGAGCACTTCCGCTGTTGTGGAGGGAACCAGGTGAAGTAGGCAGGGGGCTGCTGCTCAAGAGATCCGCATTCATGGAGCCCCAGAGAAAGGGTGTTCGGGGGGAGACTTGGGTAGCACCTGATAATGAGAGGAGGGATGAAGCTTGAGATCAGAGCTTAGTCTAAGGAAGGGGGTGATGATAGTGACTGTACCCTGAAAACAGGGACTATAATCCTTCCAAGGGCTCATGGAATACTTGCGAAAACTTACCATATGATAGAAAAATATCAAATTTGAAAAAGTTAATTCCAGTGTTTTGTTGGTGATGTAAAATGCAAAGTAGGAAATAACAAATCAAAACTGAAAACTTCTTATACTTGGAAGTTCAAGTCTAAAAAAACAACAATAAACCTCTCTTTTAGTTCCAAGGTTAAATTGCAGGAGTTCTTTAAAAAAAAAAAAAAATCGTAACACATTAGAACTAATCATTCACAGCTAAGGCAACGTTCAGGGAAATTGTGTAGACTGAAATTCTTATCAATAAAAATAGAAAAAATTAAAAAAAAAGTAGAAAAAATTAAGCATGTAAATCCAATTTAAAAAATAAAGGAAAGCAGGAGGGAATGAAATTAAAGACAGAAGTTAATGAATTAGAAAACCAACGACACTCATAAACTCAGCAGTGGTTTTCTTAACCATAAAACAGGTTAAGACACTAGGTACTCTCGTGGGGAAAAATTGTTTAAGAATGAAGAGAAATGAGGGGTGCCTGGGTAGCTCAGTCAGTTGAGCATTCGACCCTTGATTTCAGCTCAGGTCATGATCCCAGGGTTGTAAGATTGTGCCCCATATAGGACTCCGTGCTGAGCGTGGAGCCTGGTTAAGATTCCCCTCTTGCCACCCCCCCCCCAAAATTAATAAAAAAAAATTCTAAAGGATGAAGAAAAATAGAATACATTTGTATTAGTTGATATGTGTAGAACAAACTAAGATATACAAACTAATAACTGTAATTGGGGGTGGGGAGCTGGGAACTTGGAAGATAGAGGGGGAGGTTTATCACATAGCTCAACATTTTTTTTTGACTTTTATTTTTGTAATCCATTTTATTTTTTTATAATTTACATCCAAGTTAGCACATGGTGCAAAAATGATTTCAGGAGTAGATTCCTTAGTGCCCCTTACCCATTTAGCCCATCCCCCCTCCCAAAACCCCTCCAGCAACCCTCAGTTTGTTCTCCATATTTATGAGTCTCTTCTGTTTTGTCCCCCTCCCTCTTTTTATATTTTTGCTTCCCTTCCCTTATGTCCGTCTGTTTTGTATCTTAGAGTCCTCATATGAGTGAAGTATTATGATATTTGTCTTTCTCTGACTAATTTCGCTTAGCATAATACCCTCCAGTTCCATTCATGTAGCTGCAAATGTCAAGATTTCCTTCTTTGTGATTGCTGAGTAATACTCCATTGTATATATACACCACATCTTTATCCATTCATCCATCGATGGACATTTGGGCTCTTTCCATACTTTGGCTATTGTTGATAGTGCTGCTATAGACATTGGGGTGCATATGTCCCTTCGAAACAGCACACCTGTATCCCTTGGATAAATACCTAGTAGTGCAATTGCTGGGTCGTAGGGTAGCTCTTTTTAATTTTTTGAGGAATCACCATAGTGTTTTCCAGAGTGGCTGCATCAGCTTGCATTTCCACCAACAATGCAAAAGAGATCCTCTTTCTCTGCATCCTCACCAACATCTGTTGTCACCCGAGTTGTTAATGTTAGCCATTCTCACAGGTGTGAAGTGGTATCTCATTGGGGTTTTGATTTGATTGGGGTTTTGATTCCCTGATGATGAGTAATGTTGAGCATTTTTTCATGTGTCGAACATCTGGATGTCTTCTTTGGAGAAGTGTCTATTCATGTCTTTTGCCCATTTCTTCACTGGATTATCTGTTTTTTGGGGTGTTTGATAAGTTCTCTGTAGATTTTGGATACTAACCCTTTATCTGGTATGTCGTTTGCAAATATGTTCTACCATTCCATTAGTTACCTTTTAGTTTTGCTGATTGTTTCCTTTGCTGTGCAGAAGCTTTTTATTTTGACAAGGTCCCAATAGTTCATTTTTGTTTGTTTCCCTTGCCTCCGGAGACGTGTTGAGTAAGAAGTTGCTGCGGCCGAGGTCAAAGGGGTTTTTGCCTGCTTTCTCCTCGAGGATTTTGATGGCCTCCTGTCTTACATTGAGGTCTTTCATCCATTTTCAGTTTATTTTTGTGTATGGTGTAAGAAAGTTGTTCGGGTTCGTTCTTCTGCATGTCGCTGTCCAGTTTTCCCAGCACCACTTGCTGAAGAGACTGTCTTCATTCCATTAGATATTTTTTCCTGCTTTGTCAAAGATGAGTTGGCCATATGTTTGTGGGTGCATTTCTGGGTTCTCTCTTCTGTTCCATTGATCTGAGTATCTGTTTTTGTGTCACTTTTGTTTTTTTGACTTTTACACAAGATGAATACATTGCCAGTTCAAAACTGTTTACTATCTTAAGGGTTTTTAAAAGGAAGAGGTGAGTGTACCCTAGAGGCTGGTATGGCAGGTTGTGGAAGAGGCTGGCGGGGCCTGGGGGGTGTTGGGAGAGCAAATACCCAGGGTATGGCTGTTTTTTCAGAGGCTCACTGTGAAGGGCAGGATAGCGGCTGGGGGAGGGAATCTTGTCCCTCTCAGGCCTGGGGGACCCAACTGATGGGGGAAATGGTGCTCTAGCCAGTGGGGGAGTGTTTCACTTGAACCTGGGGGATGGGTGCTGCTAGCCTGAGGCAGGAAGAACAAGGTGATCTGCTGGGGAGTGGGAGCCCAACAGCAGGTGATGGGCGAGCGGGTCTCTAAAGCTGGGTTGAAGGGTAGGTACTCTATCTCGCGGGTAGGGGGCGTCAGAGACCCTGCGTAGCATTTGACTTAGCGGAAGCTGTTCTGTAAAGGTAGATGCATACTGGTGACCTTGACAGGGGAAAGAAGCAGAGTGAGCTCTAGGAAGCTGTGAGGTCCCTGTGCTTCCACATCAGCTAGTGCTGGTCTGGACCCATCGCGGGGAGGACAGGAGTTGGCAGTGAAAGCACCAAGGAGATGGGGACCAGGGACTGGTTGGTACTGGGAGGGGGGCACATCTGGCTGTAGTTTTAGATCTGTCAGCTCAGGTAGGGTACAAGTACCTCGAAGGCCCCTATCACCCCACCCCTCCCTTCCCTGCCTTCTTCCCTTATCACCAGGTTTTGTTGGTTTTGGCTTCTGTTTTTCCCAGGCTTTGAAATCAACTTCATCAAATCTCGGAGCAGCAACATGCTGGTGCCCTATGACTACTCATCAGTGATGCACTATGGGAGGTGAGGACCCCCTTTCCTTTTCTACGTTCCTTCCTTCTACATTGCCCAGCCAGCCCCCGCTGTGATCTGGATTCAGGTCCCCACCTACTGGGTTTCAGGCTTGCCTTCAGCCGGCGTGGGCTGCCCACCATCACACCGCTCTGGGCTCCCAGTGTCCACATTGGCCAGCGATGGAACCTGAGCACCTCGGACATCACACGGGTCCTCAGGCTTTATGACTGCAGCCCAAGTGGCCAAAGTCCCCGTGGGAGAGGTGAGTGACTTGAGAAATTGGAAGGATCCTATATTGAGGTGGTGTCAGTGAGGGTGAAGTGGGGGACTGAGGCTGCAGGACAAAATCACTGGGGTTACCACAAGACATGTAAAACAAAATATGTGAAAATGATCACGCAGGATTAAGAACCCTTAGGAATAGAGGTCCCTTTCTTAACCCTAACATGAGTATCTTCCAAAAACCCAGAGCAAAAATCATTTTTAATGTTAAAGCACTAAACTTAGGACCAAAACAGGTTTTTTTCCACTGTTGTCCCATCTATTCCATACTGTAGTGAAGGTCTTAGCCATTGCAGTATGGCAAGAAAAAAAATTAAAAATCTGAGTATTGGGAAGGAGGCAAAACTGTCACCATTCACAGACGATGATTCTCTACATTGAAAGCAACCAAACCTATTAAATTATTGGAAGCAAAAGGATGTTAAAAGGCAGATGTATAAAAACAGAATTTCTTTTTTTTTTTTAATGTTTATTTTTGAGACCGCGAGTGCAAGTGGGGGAGGGACAGAGAGAGAGGGAGACACAGAATCCGAAGCAGGCTCCAGGCTCTGAGCTGTCAGCCCAGAGCCTGACGTGGGGCTTGAACTCACGAACCGTGAGATCATGACCTGAGTCGAAGTTGGACGCTTACCTGACTGAGCCCCCAGGCTCTTAAATGAGACACAAAGCAAACCATAAAACTGCAAAGATTCATAAATCCAACTACATTAGTAACTACTCTAATATACTATATGATAACTACTACTTCTGTAATGACATAATTACTTATCAAGACAGTGAAAATACAAGTTACAAATCAGAACTCTTGCAACCCATAACTAACTGTATCTAAAATACATGATATATATTACATATTAATATATAATAATATAGATAAACACATGCTGAGCAAAATACAAAGCAGGAAAAAGGGCAAGAGACCTAACGGGGGGAAAAAACCAAATGGGAAATAAACACAAGACCATCAACCTTATTCATAATTGAGGAAATGGCAAGCGAAGACCACAATGTTACCACTTTTTTACCCCTTAAATTGGCAGAAATCTAAAAACTTGATAATACCCGATACTAATAAGAAAATGGAGTAATGTCCTGTCCATACCCTGTGGACAGGAGTATAAATTGCTACAGCCACTTTGGTGAACAGTTTGACTTTTTTTTTTTTATTCTTTTTTTTACTTTTTAGAGGGTTTAATTGACTTGGCCAATGTCCCATAACCAGTAAGTGGCACGTGAGCACCCCCCGAGGTAACCATGGCTCTATGCTCTCTCTAGGGTTGCCTAGTCTGGAAATTTTACGTAAATGGAATTATAGGATACGTGATCTTTTGTGACTGGCTTCTTCATGTTTTCAAAGCTCATCCATATTGCAACCTATAGAAGCACTTCATTATTGTCAAATGATACTCCAACTTGGATGGATGAGCTACGTTTTGTCCGTTCATCAGTTGAAGGACGTTTGGGTTACTTCAACTTTCTGGCTATTATGATTCACGTTACCATGAATGTTTGTTTACAGGAACTTATGTGAACCTATGTCTTTTCCTTTGGATATATGCTTACGAGTAGATTGCTGGGTCCTAGGGTAACTCCAGATTGAATTGCTGAATTGTTTTCCGAATTGGTTGTATCATTTTTCACTCTCACAAGCAGCGTACGAAGGTTCCAACTTCTCCATGCCCTTGCCAACACTAGCTATTATCTATCCTTTTATTTCTGTCCTCGGTATGAAATGGCAGCTCATTGGCGTTTTGATTTGCACTGCATACAGATGATTGGCCATCTGTATATCTTCAAAGAAGTGGGTTTTGGTCCTTTTACCTGTTTTTCATTTGAGTTATCTTTCTATTGCTGAGTTGAAAGTGTTCTTTGTGCATTCTAGATACATGTCCCTTATCAGACCTATCATTTGCAAATATTTTCTCACATTCTCTAGGTTGATGGTGTCCTTTGAATGCAAACATTTTTAATTTTGATGGGGTCCGATTTACCTGTTCTTTTACTGTGGTTTTGGTGTCCTATCTGAGTAGCCTTTGCCTAAGCCAAGTTCATGAAGATTTAATCCTAAATCTTTTGCATGTGACTTTTGCTACCCAGTTCTAGCACTATTTTTTGTTGTTGTTGTTTATTTATTTTTTAGAGAGCATGCAGAAGTCGGTGGGGGTGGGGGAAGAGGGAGACAGAAGTAGGCTCTGTGCTGAGAATGGAGAGTCCGATGTGGGACTCAAACTCACAAATCATGAGATCATGACCTGAGCTGAAGTTGGATGCTTAACCAACTGAGCCACCCAGGTGCCCCTCTAGCACCATTTCTTAGACTATTCTTTCCCATACATAATATCAAATATTACATACTTTTTGAAGTTAATAAGTATAAGATAATGTGGCAAGAGCTTTGTGGGTAACTATTGTTGAGGTTGGACTATTAGGAGAAATGAAATTGGGAAGTGGCTGGAAGGGGCTGTAGGTCTAGGGAAGGTTTACCATGATGGTAGACATTCAAGCATGCTTGGATGCTGAAATAACCCAATGGAGAAAGAGAAAGGTTGGATTCAGAGGGCAGAAGGATGCATATCTAGAACATTTGGGTAGGAGATGCCCTTGGTGGATAGGTCTCCAAGGATATGTCTGAGCTTCGTTGGTCCTAATGAGAAGGAAGACAGGTGCAGACCTAAATTTGCATGTGGGTCTTGAGGTGCAGATTCATGCACTTCTGAGGGCTTTGGTCACAGAGAATGACATGAAGTCACCAGCCTCGAGGCTGGGGAGAAGGGGATGGATGTGAAGGGAAAGGGTGTGATGTTGCCGACTGGGCTGTGGGAGAAGAAACCAGCTAGAGATACCCTGCAGGGCTGTGGGTAGTGCTGGGGCAGCCAGGTGGAGGCATGGCATAGGTTGGTGACTTGGTTCTCCAGGACTGGGGTTTTGTGGGCAGGTGTGACAGAGGGGACGGTGCTTGAGGCATAATTGCAGTGAAGTGTGTGGAGCCCAAGTCAGATGAGGAGAACGGTCGGGAAGTGAGGAGCTTGTAAGCAGGAAGACCTCGGCGTCCCTGCGCTCGAGGGGCTAGATCGTTGTGATATTTAAACAAGCGAGCTGGAAATATAGGCGTGGGCTGCCAGGAACCGAGACTTCTGCAGTGGTGGTTTCTGGTACTGACCAGGTCTGATGGGGAGCAGGGAATGAACTGTGAGATCAGTGGGACCAGGGGGGAGAAGAGTCGCTGTTTGAAGCCGATCAGCTCTGATTTGGTCAGTATCTGGTTTTTTTTTTTTATTTTTATTTTTTTAACATTTATTTATTTTTGAGAGACCGAGCATGAGCAGGGGAGGGGCAGAGAGAGAGAGAAGGAGACAGAATCTGAAGCAGGCTGCAGGCTCTGAGCAAGCTGTCAGCACAGAGCCTGATGCGGGGCTCGAACCCACAGACTGTGAGATCATGACCTGGGCCGAGGTCGGATGCTCAACCGACTGAGCCACCCAGGAGCCGCCCCCCCCCCCCCCCCCCCCCCCCCCCGCCCCCCGCCACGGTCAGGGTCTGTTGATGGAAGGGTGGGCTCATCATGAAGCCTTCAGCGCCTGGGCAGGGGTGATGGGTGAGAGGCAGCACTGAGAGGGTGGAGGGGCCTGGCCAGATAACTTGGGCTTAAGATGAAGAGGTTTACAAAGCAGTGGGTGGCAGCAGTGGTCCAGGAGAGGCAGCGAAGAGCAAGGAGAGCCTGTCTCACTAAGGACATGGGCCCGACAGGGCTCAGTAATGTCCTCCTGATGCTCTGGGTTTGGCAGGTGGTTGCAAATGCAGGAAAAGTTCTGTAGGAGGCTTCAGACATGGGGTGGTGAGAGCAGGGTGTCCCTCAGTACAGAGGACCCCAGGAGGTGTCGGAATGGCGAGGGCTGCAGTGCTTTCCGCCCTCAGCTATCTGGTGGCTTGACCATCAGCAGCTCGGGGGTATGAGTGGGAGACCATGGAAGAGAGCCCGAGGGCCTTTGTGGTGGTGACTGAGGAGTTCTGTGGTCCTTGTCTTTAAGTGTGGGTTGAGAATTTGGGTCTTGAAAGCGTTAAGCAGGGGCGAGGCACGTTATCTCCGATGAGCTGAGCTATCCGTATGAACGAAACTGAAGGTCACTCTGGCTCTCTACAGCTGGGCCACACGTTTTCCTGCTGTGTTTCCGGGCCATAACCTCCTGTCTTTCCTGCTTCAGGGTTCCAGCCCCACAGCGATGGTAGGAGCCCTACTCCTGCTTCTAGACCATACCTGCAGCAGCTTCTGAAGGCATTGTCGGCAGAATCTGGGCGCCCCGACCCCAGTGGCTCCAAGGCTAGAGCCCAGCGCATTGTTGCAGGGCCTGGAGAGAGCCCACGTAGCTGGAAGCTCCCTGCGCTGAGAAAGTTGGGTGTGGGGGCCTCTGCAAGGCTGCTTCAGACCCCAGCTTCCTCCCTAAACTCCAGGCCTGGAGCAGACTTTCCTGGTTTGGCTCTAGAGAGGTCCTGGCTGGCCCAAGTGCCCTCTGTATCACTCACTGCTTCTCCGGAAGCAGAAGACCAGCCAGGACCCATCCAGGAGGCTTTGGGGAGCAGCTCTCCCAGGAGCACATGTACCTGAAAGTCCTTTCAGGGGGATGTGCAGAAGTTGAGCCTGTGGCTTCTGTCCCCAAGTGCGAAGGGCATCTCCGTCTAGAGTAGCCCCTAGCCCCCTCCGGGCAGTACCCTGTCTTCCAGCCTCAATCTGGCTACCCTGTGTGAGGCCTGGGACTCTCCCTCTGCCCCTTTCTTTTCCATATGTTCTCCTAAGGGCTTCTAGGGACTAGGGGCTTCTAAGGGACTTCTAGGTTTATCCGGGGAAGGTAGGCCAGTCAAGAGCTGCCTGGTTCTGCCTGCTTTCAACTTCTGCCCTAGTCCTGGAGGCTGCTGGGAAGGGGAGGTGACATTCTCTAGGGCTCCAGGGCCAGGGGTCTGGAAAGGGGGGCAGAGGCAGGCTCCAGCCCTGAAGTCCCCTGGGAATCATTCTGTAGGTGAGTCGCAGCCTTCCCAGCATGCTAAGGTACTGCCTCTGTCTCTCCCTTGGGCCAGGACTTGCAGGGGAGCCCATGGCTCGTGGGAGAAGTCTCCCATCCCTGATGTCTGGGTGCTAGGAGTGTTGTCCTGCGGCTGTAACCTGCATCCCTATTCCCCAGGAGGCTTTCAGCTTGCTCCCCTGCAGTGCAGGAAGGTTCTAGAGGCAGGGATGCCACTCCATGGGGCGACAAGGAAGGGTTGGAGGCACCCTCTAATACTGCACAATGGGGAAACTCAGCAAGAATGTGAGGCCCCTGAACATAGGACTCAAAGCTCCTTCCCAGCCTGCTCTGCTTTCCAAGAACCCTTCCCTTCCACACAGGGACTTGGCCAGAGGAGGCCCTGGAAGGTGTGAAGGGGCTGTAGGGGAGGGGGCTGGTCACCCTGCTTATCTTCCTTCAGCAAAGCCCTATTCCTGGCTTCTGCTTCCTGTGTGAGGGCTGTTCCAGGAATGAATAAGGTCTCCACATGGGCTGACAGGCCAGGAGCACCGCCCCCCCCCCCCCCCCCCCCCCAGAGCTGGAGTGGCACCATCCTTATGAACTGTCAGAAGCCCCAGGAAGCCCTGCCTGGAGGGAAGTAGGGGCCTGTGCCCTGGCCCCCTGGGGCCAAGTTCCTCACATGTTTTGGGGGAAGGCAAAAATAAAATTGGGTACTTGCTCCAGGAGCTAGGTACTGGGCTGTGCCTGAGTGCATTTTAACCTTGCTGACTGACCTGGGAGGGGCCCTCAGGTGGTTACACCCACTTTCTTGGGGTGGAGAGCGGGGAAGCAGAGGGTCAGCAGCGCAGGGCTGAGGCTTGCTGTGCTTGAGTTTGGGGGAGAGCGTGGCCTTTGCCAGCCTCCTGGGCCGCGTCGGGGTAGGGGGGCATCCTTGCAGGAGCCTGGAGCCTCTGCCCTCAGTCTCTCTTGGGTTTCAGTCTTGAGTTCAAGGGATTTTCTCAGACTGAACAGGGGCCTGGTCTCAGGGATTAGCCTTAGGGAAGGACCGTCGGGTGGGGGAAACGCTGTCCCTCTGCTTGCCCCCCGGACACGAGGGGAGGACTGTCTGAGTTTAAAGTGGGTGACGTGCTCCTCGCAGGGTGACAGCTCCCCTGGGAGATTCCCAAGCAAAGATCGAGAATGTAATGTAGTGCCCCAGCCTATCAGAGAAATGAGTGTGGCCGCCTTAGCATCTCTGGGTCTAAGTAGTGGAGCCAGGCCTCTGGTTCTGGGCTGGGGGTTCTCGGTGGTCACCCTACGTCAGAGCAGGTGAAGTGCTTGGTGACCACGAGGAGGCGCTGCCCGTGATGAGCCTCCGTTAGGATATGGCTTTCGGTCTCAGAATTTGGGCTCTCC